CTTCTTCTTGAGTTGCCATTATAACCCTAGCTTTTCTCTTGCGAGCTATAGGTTTGTCGAAAAGTTGGACTTGTACGAAGAGGTTATCTTTGATTAATCGTCCTTCCTTTCTTGACCACGCGCTGTAAATTAAACCATTTTGCGTTTTAATTACTTGACTCGAATCATCTTGACTTTATGGTTTATTTTAAGGGAAAAAAGAAAAAGAAAAAGGGGCAAAAATAATGTACATATTTTTAGGGAATTAAGTATTATTATTTTTATTGGAGGATTAATATCTGACTTACCCCCCTAAAAAAATGACGGAAAAACGCGCACACAAGACTCTCTTAATCATGGTCAAAGTATGTGTATTGGTGTGTGCATTGAGTGTAAGTGACATGTTTGGACTCTTGTGTAAGATCATGGGACTTAGTGCCTAAACTCGATCATTGATTCAATTAAATATTATTGACAGCAAAATTAACCGAATTAAAAAGAAAACTGATTAATTAGACCTTAGGTGATGACTCGACAAATAATCCGAACTGTCGGCCAAGCGACAGGATTGGCGTCACACTGTGGAGCTTGGCGCCAGACAACATAGCTGTCGTCAGGCGCTACACTCCATAGTGTGCGCTACAGCTCAAACCTTGGCGCCAATATTGGAGCTTCGGTCTGGGACTGTTTTCGGTGTTATTAGTCAACTGGGGTATGCCTAAAGTCGTACTGGGTCAATTCCGATTAAAATATTAGACTTTATTGACTCAAATTAAATAATTAATTAATTAATTAGGCAAAGTTCTTTAAGTCATTAATTTATTTAGTCTCAACACAAGTCAACAAACGGTTAAGAGAAAATCACATAGAGTATGCACAACAAAAAATGCACAATTAGTCAAGTAGGCACAATATGATGCAATGAGTTCGCAACCTAACCATGGCTCTAGTTCTCTAAAGTTCGGGATATGGTTTAGTCAAAGAGGGTCCATGGTTAATTGTCCGGATGCACCGCGCGGAAGCCTAACCGTGAAGGGTTGGCGCGAGTGGATGGGACACCGCAGGCTTTAGAAAAAACTCGCTTCCATGGTTTGGTGAATTCAACATCTCGGATGTACCCTTTGTTGCACGGAGCGTTCAATCAAGTAGATGGAGCATGAATTCCCAGAGGGTTATGTCCATATGTAGAACACATATGGGTTTCAGAAAAGTGAGAAAAAATTCAATCAGGAAGTAGGATCGAGCAAACAATACGAAAAACCGGTCGAAATTAGAACTCATATTTCTAGCTCGATATTGGGGGAAATTGGCGCCAGCAATCAGAGACTGGCGCCAGTTTTTAACTGTAGCGCCTGGCGCCAAAACTGGCGTCTGGCGCTACGGCTAAAAGTCTGGCGTCAAGCTCTGGCCCCTGACGCTACTTCCCACATGCCTCAGCAGCTTTCTGTGCTCGATAAAATTTTCCAATTTCGTGCGGTGTTATTTCAGTCCTAGTTGTGAAAGACGTTACTCAAATTTCCTACGTGTAAAATCCTATGTTTTTAACTCATTACAGATGGTCTTTCCAATGAGATCTTTTTTATGCATATGACAATAATGTTAATCAAAATTACGCACATGAAATACTTAGAACTTTTCGAGTCTCATCCACTCATTCTAAATCATTGCCGAAACAAATTCAGGAATTAAAATAGAAATCCTCCCCAGTGGAGTCGCCAAAAACTGTAGGGAATAAATTTCAAGCCTTAAAAATCCCATTAGCTTGAACCCCACTGTGATCATACACTAAAGTACGGTGGCGTCCTAAAGGGAAGAAGATAGAGCAAAAGTGTCGCCAACAAGTTTTTTAGGAACTTGTAAACCGTTCACGAGGTGAAGGTTACACCCCTTAACGATCCAAGAGATCGTCAACTCCATAAGGTCTAGAACCAAATAAGGGTTCGGGGATGAAGGTACAAATCCAACCTAAAAGAGATTGAACGTGCCCTAATAATAGGCCTCTACTTTATTCTGATCGTATTCATGTGCGCTTTCTGATTAACATGCAATCAATAGGATTAACCCTAAACCTGTTTATCTATATTGGTTGAATATTAATGCACAAATAAACTATTATTGGCGATCACTTGAATTATAATCACAATTAACCCTAAACAAGATTATTAAATATCTTATTAAGCGTGATTACAAGTACAAATTCCCTTTAAACATGCATAAAAGGTGTGATCAAGCAATAACAATAAATCAAGCAACATAATAAATAATCATGAACAAAATAATAATAATAATCATCATAATTATAACAATTATAATAATAATCATGTTCATGTTAATATTAAAGCATAATAATAATAGCAAGATCCTAGGCATGATACTAACAAGATTAATAACAAACCCTAGCATGTCACTAAGCAATAAAAATCAAATCTTTAGCCCTAACATGATACTAACAATCATAAATATTAGGAAGAACATAGGAAGCATCGTAACAATCATATTTAATATTAAAATTACCCTAGACATGATACTAGGAATATCATAATAACAATATAAACATGATTTCTATATCATATTATCAATTAAAACCATTAAAGTACTTACTTTAATGCCTCGTACCTCTTTCTAATAACAAAATACACACGTTAGTAACTTCAAGGAAAATAATAAACAACAATTAAATTAAATAATTGAAAGAGAGATTTGGGACCAAACCCTCAAAAATTAAAACCTTTCACGTCTAGGGCGAAGGCAACTTCGAATATGGCTAGGTGTTTCTAGATCTAATGAATGCAGAATTTTGTATGAAAAGCAAAGGAATAAAGAATTGAGATGAATGATTTAGAGAATGCTAAAGAATAATGATTGTTGATGAATGATGGATGTAGATGATTAATGGTTCATGAATGTAGATGATGATAATTGGTGAGAATAGGTGAGAATTCGTGAATGAAAACGAAGTTTTTAATACGATATTTATAGAGAAAATCAGCCAAAAAAGATAAATTAACAAAACAGAGTCTGACGCTCAGGAAACAGAGCTGGCGCCAACCCTGGCTAGCTGGCGCCAGGCACCAGCCTTAGCGCCAGGCGCCAATGGCTAGCGCTAGGCGCCAGGCCTGGTTCCAGGCACCAAGGCCTGGGGTTAGGCGCCAAGCCTGATACCAACGCGTTTTCTAAAATCCAATAAGTTTACCGTACTGGAGGATAAAATAATATAATTTCCTCGAAAATGCTATTTGATTTTGATTAAAACTCTGAAAAGTCAACAAAAGTCAATTTATCAATGCTAATTGAATTAGGAATGAAAAGAACCTTCTAGAAGAATCTAGAAGACTAAAACCATTCCTAATTGCATTAGGAATGATAAATCATATTAGGCCCTCCCCAAGATCATTGGGCCGTACATAAAGCTCCAACCGGGCCCAGTTTAGTAAATTGGCCATAACTTCCTCAATATTCATCGGAATTGGGCTTATAATATATCGTTGGAAAGTTCTTTGAAAGCCTCATCCAACTACACTACTATTGAACCCATATCATGGACCAACCAAACTGGATTGGATATTTTCTTAAAATAAGTTTTCAGAAATAGAGAGAAGAGAAAAGAAATTAAAACTTTCCGCAACACTAGACCTTTCCACACTTTCGTTTCATTCGATTATGATTCGACTGAAAGGTACTCATCACCGGGTTTGGTTTGGGGAGACACAAATGGATGTCTACAGGTGTCAACTAAAAAAAAAACAAAGGAAGTATTTGTTTTCAATTTGAAGAATATCGCCTTAAGTTTTTATTATATAATTCCTCAAATACCTTCAATGACTCATGGTTGCCGTTAGCTCAATTAGTCATTAATCCCTAACTAACCTATTAACCCTTAATTAAACAATGAAAAGTAACTCACTTTACATGTTATAGTTTCTGAGACGCGAAAAGCCAAAAACTGCTAGGTTAAGTTTTAGGGGTTATTTGGGTTCTTAAGAGACAAATTTAAGATCAAAATTGGCAAAAAAAAATAAAAGATTATATATGCCTCGTTCTTCATGCAAGGAAATGCGTTGTTTTACTTGCTCATCACTTTTCGAGAAATTAAAAATTGCTCAAATAAAAGTTTTAATAGTCATTTTGGTTCCTTAGAGCCAAATATGAGATCGAAATTGACTAAAAAGTACCAAACATGCCTCGTTTTGTGTGCAAGAACCCTTAAATCCTCAATTGAGTAATTTTTCCAACACACAAACCAAAACATTTTTGGTCTTTTTTTTATTTTTATTTTTTTACCGATTTTGACCTCAAATTTTAATCTTGAGAGCCAAAATGACTGCTAAAACCTTAACACAATAAGCGGCTTAGAAAGTAGAGCACGTGAAATGATGCATTTTCTTGCACGCAAAATCAGGCATTTCTAGTCTTTTTTTGTCAACTTTAACCTTAAATTTGACCCTAAAGAGCTAAAGTGACCCCTAAAACCTTGACGGAAGAATTCTCGTCGCTCGAAAAATAGTGCATGCATGCAAACCGACGCATTTTCCTCTTTAATTATGGATTAATGGGTTAGCTAGGGATTAATGACTAACGCAGCTAACGTTCGAGGGTATTGGATGATCATGTTAAAACAATAAGAGCTAATATTTGATGAATTTGTCAAAAACTCAAGGGTAATGGGTCAATAAAATTATTAAAATTAGACATTCATGACTTTTGTACAATAGCTAATACCTATTATACATGAATTTATTTTAAGATTAAATAAAATTATTTAAACACTAGCTATTAATAAAGTTAAATATTTTAGAAGAATAATGAAAAATAAAAAATATAATAAATTGACACCTTAAATAATGGAATTATCGCTAATATTTTAAAGAGGAACATAAGATCCTACAACCTCGCACATACACTCGTCTTATTATTTATCTTGTCAATTTGTCTTTTTTCCTTATTTTTACCTTTTATCTCCCTTCTAGTTTCCTCAATTTCTAATAAACATAATCTTAAATTATTAAGAAGAAAAAATATTAATGCGGGGAGGGAAAGAACGATCAAAAGAGCGTCGTGAAAAGAGGCTCCAAGAAATTTCGTTGCTTCGTACCATTCCCTATTCAGATCATCGACGGTATTTATCAGTGTTTGACACCCTTTTTTTAATATATAAATGTAACGAACATGAATATATGAAATAAATTTATATAATTTTTTCATATTATGTATAATTACCAACTATTGTGGATTAGGAGTAAGATCTTCCCCTTCCTCTTCCATGGGATATAGATGGTTTGATATTGTGATAAATGTTAATTTTGGTGGAGGTGAAGATGTTATTGTTGCGTATGTGCTTAAATAGGTATACAACCACCTAACTCTAACAAATAAATAAATAAAAAATTTATTAAAAAAAGGGAAGGTATATATGAAATTATGCTACATTTATCTTTTTCCTGACAAATGATCATGCATGTCTCCCTTTTCTTAAGATGATGACCAAATTCCATTCATCAAATTTAATTAAAAAAAAATAAAAAATTAGTACCTTGATATTATTGGTATAAGTATTGTATTAAAATCTAAAGGAAATATTTTTATTTTCATAAAATATACATATTCATCATTATGTTATAATTTTTTTATTTTAGAGGATCAACTATTTTGTGGCTTTCACATTTTTCTCAACAGGGTCCAAATCTTCTATCCCACTATTGTGTCTCATTCCATGTCCCATTCAATTTAATTGGTCCACGTCATTTTAAATATCAAAATTCTTTATTTAATTTTCAATATCAAATTAGATTAAATAATTTTTTTTTACATAATTTATATTCTAGTCCTTATCTAATTTTTTTTTCTCCTTTATACAATTACGTTTAATTTTTTTTCTCTTTATACTACCTCCATAGTTGTACTCATCTTCTTCAAAGTTATTTTTAGAGTTATTGACCACATCATTATTATCATTCAATTGCTCATGCTCCTCAAAAGAGTTTGCAACTAGTTTGTAATGATCCATTTTCTTTATCAAAATAATAATTCTGTACCACCAAAAAATCACATATAAAAATCAATAAAAATACATTTATCCAAAACCTAAGCAACTATGTAGGATCATTTTGACAATGTTATAGCTTATAATAAAAGTAATTGTCAATATATACTCTAATACCTTCCCTAATGACCAGAAACAAAACATATGCATAAAATATTTTTTTTTTGAATGATAGCACATATAGTATAGTATTTCATAGATAGGTGATTCAATAAGAATTAAACTCAACCCCAATAAAATTCATACCTGGTATGGTAAATTGTTGAAATTGCTCATCAATACTTCTCGTGGAGTATCCATTATAGTGAATTGTAATGCTTTCATATTTATGAATAGATGTAATTGGAGAAAGAATAAATTGAGGTAACTTAAAAAAAATTAGGGTTCTTCATACAGTTATAAAGGTAGTATAGAAAAAAAAATGAGATTGAATTAAACGAAATTGAATAAAGGAGAAAAAAAATTAGATAAGGACTAGAATATAAATTAGGTAAAAATTTATTTAATTTAATTTGCTATTGAAAATTAAATAAAGAATATTGATATTTAAAATGATGCATGTGGATCAATCAAATTAAATGGGACATGGAATGAGACACAATAGTGGGATAGAGATTCGGACCCGTCTCGTTGATAGCAAAATCGGTCTTAGATTACAAAATATATTATTCTACTACGCGATGATGTAAGAAACTTTGTCAATCACCTAATGAAATTTTTAAATAAATTGTGTATTTTTATTTTATTTATAGATTTTTAGTAATTCTGATTTTATGGATCAATTATAATTTTTTTTTATCATAAGGGATTAACTTTTTGTGGTAAATTAGCCATAGATTTTAAAATTGTATTGTTTTAATTAATATCATAACAAAAAAAATTTGTATTATTTTAAGAAGTATCACATTTTCCCTCTTCAATTGATTTATTTCTCTTTTTTTCCTTAAATTGAATAGACCTACTCATTTTATAGCATTTCATTCACATCACTTTAGACCTATTATTCACTATCTATAATAAAAATAAAAAATAAAAACCTTCTATCCATTTCTACGATAAATAAATAAATAGATAGATAAAAATCCAACTACCCATTAATTTAAAGGAAAAAAAAACCTAATATCAATTATCACACAATTAAACAAGAAGTCAATTAAATTTGATTAAAAATATATGTATCAAAGTGTGTCGACTAAACAGTTAGAGATTGAAAGAGTATATATGTTACCATGTAAACGAAAACAAAATATTGAAAATACTTAAACTCATAGCTTGAGTTTTCAAATCAAAGAATAAAAATCATCATTCATCTTATTCAATATTTATAATTTTGTAACTCAGCAATATTTATTGAATTTAATTAAATGCATCATTGTATATTTTGATAGATTGAAATTAAATAATATATATCGAACATTGAAAATATTTTTAGTGAGAAAATAAGGAAATCAAATAAGGAGAGATATTGAAATTTTTTTTATAAAAGGGTATTGGAAGTTTATTTTTATCAATGAAAAAATATAAGTTATTGTGAATTTTGGGATGTCAACCAATTGAATTTTTTTCTTGTTATTTAGCACCTTCTTCATCATTTGTTTATTGAGTTATTTACTTTCCATATATAAAGGGAGGGAGGCAAACTCAATTTGTATGTAAAGAGGAGACATGTGCTATCTATTTTGGTTGTTATTTTTTATCAAGCGTATAATAGTCACCAGAAAACTAGGTAATATTTTATTTTTTTTGACAGAAACTAGGGAAATTATCTGGTAAATAATAACCCATGCTAATGTAGAAGTACACCCTAAGCCCTTAATAAATGAATATTTATGTAATATTATTTGATTATTAACTCTCATGTTTCTTAGTAATTTTTTAGAATAATTAATAATGAATTCATTGATTGTGAAAATTGTGTAGATTCGACCCACTCATTAATCTAATTTAGTTTTTACGATAAAAATTAAATATTATTGTAGAGAATCTAATATTAATTTTGTCTTTAAACATTATCATAGATGGTGGACCGCTGAAACTATTGCAGTAGTAACGGGAGGTAATAGAGGTATTGGTTTTGAGATTACTAGACAACTTGCCGGTCACGGGTTGACAGTCGTACTTACCTCAAGAGATACTGAAGTTGGTATTGAGGCTGTGAAAGTATTGCAAGAAGCTGGATTGTTAGTAGAGTTCCACCAATTAGATATTGTTGATCCTCAATCCATTAAGGATTTTGCTGAATGGATCCAAGAAACTCATGGTGGCCTAGATATATTGGTAATTCACTTCTTCATCTAACTTATTTTTTAATACGATAAATTGAAGATAAGTTTCTCTTTCCATTAATACTATTTGGCTATAGAAATTAATTTGCCTTTGATTTCATTTGGTGTGCACAAAACCTTTTAACATTTATTGCATTTTAATAGTTTTTAACAAACAAAATAAATATTCGTATTGTTACAAAAGAAAGGAGCAATTTTTCTTTTGTGATTTTAAATGTAGAAAATGAAGTAAAATTGCCTCATAAAAATATAATATTAAAAATGATACATATATCTTATCCACAAATGTATAACGAATTTCCAATAATATCATTAAGGAAAAATCTCAACAATAAGATGAATTAATTTGCAAAATATATTTACATAAGATACTTTTCATTCTATCTTGTATATACAATTGTAATACATATAATTAAAGTAAAAAAATAATCTTCTTAATGTTGATTTTTTTTTTTTATATTCGATTCTATTACTTTGGCGACATAAAGTTGAAAAGTTCATTTAAGAATACTTAGGGTTACCAAAAATTATTCTCTAGTTGAATGTTAAGTTGAACAACACAAATACACAATAAAAATACTCTATATATGCTACTTGTATTAAAATAAAATGTAATTTAACATATGGTATAAGCCATCCCAAAATTTATATTGTAATTACAAACTAAATATAAATTTTATTATGTTAATTAACTGGGAAGTTATGTATATACTTTTTAAAATTTTATTATTTTGCTTATATCATTCTATAAAGATGCTCGCTCATAGGTCCTTTTTATTCCTTTAAGCTATGACATTAAAAAAAAAAAAAAAAAAAAAAAAAACCCTCTCATTCACCCTCCATTATAGCAATACTCCATTAAATGGGTCAACTTTTTATTCCTGATCACTTTTTTCTTTTCTATGAGAAGTCAAAAAAGAGGAATATTTATATTTGTTTACGGAAGTATAAGCTTTAAAAGAAAAGGGTGGGAAAGAGTGTTTTATTAGTCAATTATCTCTCAACCTTTCGCCATCTTAATTTGCATGTGTTTCTATTTTAAGTGTGTTAATTAATAAGTAATAGAGGAAGTGTGCGTATGCACGCATGCATGTGTATGCTAAATGTTTGTTTAGATAAAAGCATAAAGAGTTTGTATGATTGTTATAAGTACAATGATGAACTCATTTGGATCTAATATATACTTCCTTCGTTTTATTTTAATCTAAACTTGTATATAAGATTTTTTATTTTTTATTTTTTTATTGTAGTGTATGTAGGATTTTGATGATAAAAATAAGACATGTAAATAAATTTATATAGGTATAATCGTATCGTTACTTGATAATTGTGTTCTCAAATTAAATTTGGTGTATAATACAGGTAAACAATGCAGGCATCAATTTCAATGTTGGATCAGAGAACTCTGTTGAACATGCAGAGCAAGTTATTAGAACAAATTATTATGGAACTAAAAATGTTATTAATGCTATGATACCCTTGATGAGGCCTTCTTCTTCCGGTGCTCGCATTGTGAATATTAGCTCAAGGCTAGGAAGATTGAATGGCAAAAAAAATGTAAGTTAAAACCTAATTCTATTTTATATATATATATATATATATTCCTTCTTTCTCAAAAGACAATTGTCTTGATATATGATTTATTTTAAAATTAATGTCAACTTTCTACTATTTTATAAATAGTTAGAGAAATTAATTTCAAAGTTCTACATTGACCAATTTAAGAATAAAACTTAGTGAATAATATAAAACCAGGGTATTATAAAAAACAAAAAAAAAAAAAACCCAAGGAAAATACAGATGTGAGCTAATGGAAATAAAATATATGTTGTTTAGAGGCATATATATTACTCTCGTCCTATATCTTAATAAGTGCATCATTTTAATTAGCACGCATGTTAATGCAAAACTTTAATCACTAATATTTTTTTTTTAATTTTTTATACTTTAAATTATAAACATATGATGTTATGAAAATACACGACTAAAAGGTTACATAATAATAACATTTAATTTTTGTATATTTGTAAAAACTCAAGTTAACGTTAGTATGTAAATAGTGCAAAAGTCAAAGTGATGCACTTATTTAGATATAAGGGAGTACTAAGAGCTACTGAACTGAGCTGAACTGAACTAAACTGAAATGAATATTTTATAAGAGAAGGAAATTAGGAGTTGAATTGAACTGAAATGAATTGAAATGATTGGAGCTGAACTGAACTGAATTGATTGGAGCTGAACTGAACCAAACTGAACTGAATTGAAATTAAGCTGAAGTGAACATGCCCTAAATAGTGTATAATTGGACTCATATATATAGTGAGTGTCAAAAGTCTAAAATTTTCATTGCCAAAATAAGTATGAACTAAGGGTGTGTTCTATTCACCTGATATTCATTGATCTGAACTTATCTTAACTTATCCGAACTTATTACCTGATCTTACCTAAACTTACGTGAACTTATTAGACATTATTAGAATTTATTTTAGTTGTAATTTGTACTTGGGTAACCCTTATCAAAACTAATCAGACCGGATCTAGACTTATATGAACTTAGCTGAACTTATCTGAACTTATTACACTTGAAATAAGTGAAAATAAGGTGAATAGAACATACCCTAAATGTATAGGAAATAAAAAACAAGAAGACTATTGACATATAGGAAACTAAAGATATGATCAATAAATTGCTAAGATAAATAAGTCAAATTTTTTTCTTATCTTATATTTTCTCAAAACTTAGAAAGTATTGTATTCCTAATTGCTCTACATTTTTTTCTAGAGGATTGAGGATGATACATTGAGAGAACAACTATCTAATGAAGAATTATTGTCGGAGGAATTAATTGATGATACTTTGAATAAATTTCTAGAACAAACGAAAGACGGTAGCTGGATCACCGGAGGGTGGCCTCAAACATTTACCGATTACTCAATATCAAAACTCGCTACCAATTGTTATACAAGATATTTGGCAAGAAAGCTATGTGATAAACCTGAAGGTGAAAAAATATGTGTTAACTGCTTTTGTCCTGGTTGGGTTAAAACAGCATTAACAGGGTGGAATGGAAATATATGTGTTGAAGATGCAGCTGATACTGGTGTGTGGCTTGCGTTACTTCCTGGACAACCAACTAGTGGGAAATTTTATGCTGAAAGACGTGAAATCAATTTCTAAAAACATTAATTAATTAACGTCACCAATCCTATGTTGGTCTTTTGTTAATATTAGATATAATGATGAGCTTATCGGATCACATTACTAAAATATTTGATGTTTAAGCTTTGTAATTGTATCGAGAAGTACTTGTAGTTTGTTTAAAAAAAAAAGTACTTGTAGCTCATTCCGCTGATAAATTTGTTAGTTAAATGTATAAAGATAATTTGAGTAGCTCTACCAAAAACATCATTTACCACTCACAATTATTAGAAGTCTCTTCACTTTTTTATATGTAGAAGATTAGTGGTTCATTTACACTGTATCAAAAAATACTCCCATTGTTTTCTTATAATTTACTTGCTTTTTTTTTTTGGATTTTTTTTAAGATGACTTACAACTTACTATATTCCACCACTTATATGTAGAATTAAAAGTAATTGTATACAAGAAAAAAAAAAAAAGAGAAAGAGAGATAAGGACTAGAATTTTAATTATGTAAATTCTATTTAATTTTATGTGCCATATATTAACATAAAATTTGAATCAAGAAAATAGATGGTTAAAATGATGTGGACCAATAAAATTGAATGGTACATGGAATGGGACACAAAAATGGGGGGATTCGGACCTAGAACAATTTTTATTGTTTTATTTATTTGTATTTTTCCCGAAAAATTGACAATTTCGTGCAACATGACTGATATTGGAATTGCCATTTCATACAATTTGAAGAAAATAGTTTGCACAATTTTCATAAAACTAATTAAACAAAATAGAATTCATTGATTCACACAGATTATATGTAATAATGCACACTATATCATCCCAATTATATGAAACCGTATGATTAAATAAATCGATTCCTAATTTTTGTGCAATTTTTTCCCTATATATTATATTCTGTAAATTTAATTTTATTGATGTTTGATTAAAATATATAAATCGATCAATCTAATATATAATTGTAGAGTCATTTTTGCAACACTTAATCACATCACTCCAAAACCCCAATCCTACAATTTGGTGCAATCTTCTTCTTCTTTTTTTTTTTTTTTTTTTTTTTTTTGTCAATAACTTCCACTTCTCTAAATTTTAGATAAAAAAAAAAATCACTTTCACTTTTACTATAATACAATACAATATATATCTCCATATATAATTGCATATTTTTTTAACAACATTCAACTACAAGCATATTTATTATTTTTTTTCATCGTATACAAAAGTTAATATATAAACTACCCACTTTACTATTTAATTTTTGGGAAAAATCCCACTTTACTTAGTATTACAAATATACAAACTAATTTTTTATAACACAATATTGGAAGAAATTTATATTATAATTACATGTTTCATTTTTTAATTTTGTATTATCCCAACTCTTGAAAACTTCAATCTTAAAATTATAGGCATTTTTATTTATTTTTGAAAATAATATAGCCCCCCATAAGTTCACTAACTTTTAGCTGACCACTTTATGAAATTACTCGGTTAGTGTTATAATGGTTAACCTGTTACGGATATAGAGCTTACTTAGTTAATAATATAGGGGTTATGCTGTCAGCGTTTTAGGAGTTACTTTGTTATTTCAGGGTTACTCAAAAGTATAATAAGGATTTACTATTTCAATATAATACAAGTTAATCCATTTTTTCTACCAGTAGCCCTACGGTGTTGCAGCGCACACAAAACAGACTAACATAAGTTCCACAATTTTCCTTTTAAAAAAACCTTATACATTGTATTTATTTAATATCTTACTATGTGATATATATCCCGTGTATTTTGCACGGGTACACTCTACTTAATAACAATGAAAGAGAGAAACATGAAAAGGGAAAGGGAAACAAAAAAAATAAGGGGTAAAATTGGATTTTCAAGAGGGTATATTAAGCGAAGAGAGGTACGTTCAGCAAGTGGATTGCTAAATACCGCCTACATTTTTTATCAAACCGCCAACAAAAGTGATGAAGAGACAAAACTACCCTTACTCATCCATACTTTGCTTTCTCTCTCCTAAGTCCATTAAGTCTCAACCGCAATCGTCAACCACCACAGACACCACCACCACCCACTGCACCACCACTGCCACAACCACCACCACTCACTAATGCACCATCACCGCCCATAACCACCACCACCCACGTCACTGCATCATCGCTGCCCACAACAACCAAAAGGACTAGAGGTACCAATTTTTTTTTTAAGTTACAATTTATATTTCCGGCAACCACAACAGCGAGTCAGTTAATCACCATCGGAATAATGACGGCCCACCACCTTCCTTGTCGTGCGGGAAGGTGGTTTTTTAAACCCTGGCGACCAGCACAACCGGCAACCCACTACTGCAATCGGTTTCAAGTGTCGGTTGACTACGGTAATCGACATCCAAAACCGGTTACCGTACCGGGTTATCGGTTTTTCATGCCGATTGACCGGCATCCAAAACCAATTAGCGTGGTGTTTAATTAGTTTTGCATGCCGATTGTGAGCGCATAAAGATTAAAAAAATCAGAGGTACTGCCCTTTCACCTCCGATCGCTCCCCCTGCGCTAGCTCCACCTCCGATGTACTTCCGTCGGACCACTGCTTCCCTTCATCTGTTGTTGTTGCGGTTGATGGTGGTTGGGGAGTGGTGGTTATGGTGGTTACCGGTGATGAGAGAGAAAAAAAAAAAAAGAAAAAAGGAAGATGTGTGGAGGTATAGTAAGGGTATTGGTGTCCATTTATCTTAAATGTCGGCGATTTTGATAAAATTTGTTGGCGGTATTTAACACCCCTTTAGCAATCATGTTTAAAACTGTTGTTATTATTGTAGAGTAGACTAGTAGAGTAGAGAGACTAGAGATAGACCGAGTTAAAAGGAAAGTACTCCGTAACTTAGTTTTGGTGAGTTTGGTGCTCCTTTGGCAAATCAATCAAAAGTTCAAAACAGAAGCGTTTGAACGCAAGATGATCGCATAATTTTCATGGATGATCTCAACAAACATCTGGTAAATTAATATTTTCTTCTTTCTCTCTCCTATCTCCTGCTGAAATTCTTCTCAATTTTGAACATTATTTGCCTCTAATTTCCATAATTTCCCCCATTTTTTCACAAATATGCTTTCAAAATCAAATTCTGTAAATTTTGGTCAAAATTTGATCTCAAATTTGTTAAATTTGGACGCAATTTCTTAGGTTTCACTACGAGGAGCAAGTTCGAAGGAAATTACAAGGGTTGCCCTTCTTGAGAAGGTTTCCCATGAAAGAGAGCTCCGGAATTATGCTCGGCGAGCTAGTTCCGCTGCTCTATTTATCCAGGTACTCCATTTTTCGTTGTTTACGCTTTATTCGTATTTGTCGGTCGGATTGATCTAAGTAATCTGCTATTTTGATTATCAATGTCACATAGTTTGCAATCTGAATGTCAAATTTGATTGTACTAGTAGGCAAAATGTTGTGCTTATGATTATAGATTGGAAAAATGGAAAGTAGCAATTCCTTTTTAGTTTTTTTTAGAAGGTTTGTTATGTTTTCGACACGATTATTGCCGCCTGTATGATTGTGTTTACAGCGCGAACAATTTGTTAGTGCTAAATGTTGGTAACTATGGCTAGTAGTTTAAGGTCGGCTAGAGTTCTTAAACAACTTGGCACTGCATTATTTGCCTTGTAACGAGCTCGCTTGTATGGTATATTCCTAGTCTATGATGACATTGATCTTCGTATTTATGTAAGTTCCGGAGTTAGCTATTCTTACATGTCATCTTTTTGAGGTCCTTCAGAGAGTAATGCAAGCTTTATAGCCCTTTTGACCATAGAAAATAATAAGTGTCAAGATGTGATGTAAGAGTTTCGTAAGATACTTGACAAATTCTATTTAGTTTTTCTACATCTCATCTGGTACTTGGGCATTAAAGGTTACTGCCGCTCAAGGTCACTAGATTAATACCTTGGAATGTAGTGGGTCAAACCGTAACTTTTGGAATTGTCCCTTTTCATTTAGTATTTTCAGGAGTTTCAGCACCTTGTGATCCAAGATTTATGGTCTATAATTATAATCTTAGCTTAGATCTGTTTCTTAAATTGAGTTTTGCACCTTAACTAGCTAATACTAGCACAAACTCTCCTTGGAGACCCTTGACCATTATTGACGAGGGGAGGCATTTCGTGATATTACATGCATATTGGCTACATGATAATCAAGAAAAAGCATTATGGTGGAAAATATTGTTTAAGAATGATTTAGGATATAGTGATAGTTGCTTTTGCAATGCATGGCCTACCGTTTTGCAGGAAAAACTTATTGCAGTGCAGTCCCAAACATGTAAATAACAAGATTGTTGCTGAGGAAGATTTATATTCTAAATCGATTGAATCTACCCTCATGGTTTTAAAAATTGATTCATACACGACATGTTGGTTAATTGGTTGGTATGCAAATCTTTCTTGTATTTGTTATTGAATTGCCGCCTTGTTTTTCATATGCTGTTGTACTGTATCTGCTTGTGTGTCTGGTGAAAGGTCACTACAAGGAGCATTTAAGAGTTTTCCAGGTTCCTTTTAATTGAGCTAACTTTCTTGTAAATGTTATCAGAGGGTTTGGCGGCGCTACAGTGTGACAATGAGAGTGGCATTAGAGTTTCAAAAAGAATGGGATCTCTCCATACGTGATGCTTCTAGGCCAATGAGTAAAACATGGATTTCTTGCTATTTATTGAGGCCCTTCCTATATTTTATCACCCATTTATCTCTCAGACGGCGCACTGTCCAAAGCCAGGCTGTGAACTCTATGCGTAGTTGTTTTGTGATATTATTGGAAAATTTAAATTCGACAGGTAACTTTATTTGTTTGTGTACTTATTTTGATTGGCTAGATGTTGTTAATTCTTATTTTAATTTTGATTTGGTGTGCTAGAGTTCTTTATTATTTGAACTTTCTTGGTTATGATAATATGTGTCTGAATTTGACATTGCTATATTTTATCTTAGTGAGATGACAGTCTGATACTTTGCCATCATAGTGAACTGCCTTATCTGAGTTTTTGCTCTTTACTTGAGTGTTATACGAGATCTGCATCATGTGAGAAACTTTTTGAAAGGAAAAATTTATAAACTTTGACATACGGATATCTTTCTTCCATGAATAAACATGGGAGTTAAAGAGTACTTCCTGGAATGATTATAAAAAAAAAAAAAAAAAAGATTCAAAGTTCCCATCGTTCCACAATTGTCCAAACTATGCATCTTTGCAGCTCCTGTGCATCCAATTTGACTTGGATACCAAGTCTTTGACGAATTGTGTAATTCTTTTCTTTTCTGAATCACACCTATGACATATCTTCTAGCATGAAATTTTCTCTATCTTGCTTCTCCTCCCTCTCATATCCAGTTTCCCTAACATATAGTTCTTGGTCAATCTTCTCTCTACTGCATCCCTACATCCAAATCTGGGTATTAACCTGCATTGATTTTTAAACTTCCCAAACCCTTTACCACATCTTGCAAATTTGTTGTTATGAAAGGCCTTCACGTATGCAAATTATCTGGCCCAAACTACTTTTCAATTTTAATCCATTTGATTAAATACCCTCAATCTGTAGCAGATTGAGAAAATCCTTGAAATTGATGAAGTTTACTTGCACTTAGTGCAGTTTGGGGCACCCTTATATAAAACCATTAAGATGTAGTATTAGTAATTTATGTTGTGCGTGCGTGTGTGCATGCACACATTGATACAAACATGTGTATTTGATACATTGTGATACTTCTAACCCATCTTCTTACCTGAAATTATATGGTGCTTGAGAAGAGTCCACATTGACTCCATTCTCTTTATTCCAAAGAAACCTGTCATATTGTGGAAACTCGAATCTTGCGACCTCTATGTTTATGCTTTTGTATTAGGAAATGAAGCTTTGTTAAATAAAAAAAAAAAAAAAAAAAATAAAAAAAAAAAAAAAAAAAAAAAAAAAAAAAAAAAAAAAAAGTCAAGAGCAGATTTGCCCTTAGTTGTTACCCAAATTCCCATTTGCATCCCCATGCCTATTTGAAAAGGTGTTTTGAATAAGGGCCAAAAAATTGAGGTGAAGTGAAACACTTTGTATCATGGTGATATAGCATGTAGTTCAAGGAGTTAATAGAAATGAAATAATGGGTTCTTGTTTGTCAAGAAAACAAATATTAGAAGTGTAGTTATATGATTACCATTTGTAACTATTTAATAGGACATCGTATGTTGGAAATCATTGGGCATTGTTAGTGAAAGTGGAATAAGCTCTTAAACAAAATATCTCAAGAACGTAGCATTCATTAAGGGTTGTACGAATAATTAATCTAAATTTGAATTCTTAGATTGCAGTATATGGGGATACTTGCGACTTTGAATTTTCTAATTTTTGCCAAAATATGTCAATGCTTTTCCCAAAGCTCTGATGATGGCCTTCTACCTAGGGTGTATAACATGAATGCTAATGTGCCTCTACTTCCTGTGGAGGTTCATGTTTTGATGTGCCAAGAATCTTCTTGATCACTTTTCTGAAATTTAGTTGCCTATAACTACCTCTTTTCTTTTTAGGATGAACAAGAAAAAGGAAAAAAAAAAAAAAGATTGAATTTAAAATTCATCTTTTCTGGTTATAGAAGTATTGTACAGTGGACAACCTCTATGATAAATAACTTATTTATCCTCTGTAGTTTTTATCATGTACATATAACAAGTTATTACTGTATTTGTCTTCTTATCAATTTTTCTTTTGGTAGACTTAAATATAAATTTCTGCGCTTTGGCAATTGGTACAAATGAGGAGCAACACATGTGGAATTATCAAGGAAAGAAGCTAGTCTCTTTGTGCTCATTCATACTTGTGGATTATGATAATTACTCACTAGGGAGTAGTGAAGTTGTTGCTGTTACAGCATTATTGATGCGTTTGGTTATCACCCTTGCTGATTCAAGGGGCTGGAAGTGCATATCTGATGAAAAACATGAGGATGCAGACAGTGCAGTAAAGGGTTTGGTTAGATTTATTGGCAGTGACAAAAGTGGCCTGTATAGATCTGTTGGGAGGTACTTGACTAAGTTGAGTGCTTCTTCTAATTCTTCACAAAGTGTTGTTAAGAAGGATGATAAGTTCTTGATCACTGCCAGTGCAATAACTTTAGTATTGCGACCATTTCTGGTATTCAACACCGATGAAAAGGATTTTTTACCAGTAGATGTGCAATGTGCTGCAGAACAGTATTGTTTATTCATACTTACAGTACCCTGGCTGGTTCAATGTATCCCAGCTGTGATTCTTCGTGCTTTGAGTCATAAATCTACTTTACTGCCCTGCTTTCAGACTCTCCTGGTGAGTAATAAGGCCTGCTAATAATATTACTTTGATGTTGTTGAATTGTTATTCATCAATACTAGTGGTGGACTGGTGGATCATTCTGAATAATTTAACTCCCACCATTTTGTTTGTTTGTTTTGTTCTACACTATTATTGGTGGCTCTTTATTCCAAAAATGTTAGTAAAAGATGAGTGGGTGTAAAAAAAAGGTGGATTTAGTAAGATAGATGGAGTAATAATGTTGATGGATGTAAGAAAGAGGTGGAGAATGGTGGGGAAGATTATAAATGGTGCTTGCAATATAAAAAAAAAGTATAAAATGAATAAGGTGGGTAGAACACACACACACACACACACAGAGTAGAGAGAGTTTGATAAAGAAGGTTACAATTGATAGTGGTGTAGAGGGGGGTTTAAAGTATGATAAAGATGTTCTTTTTTATTTCAGTCTCTTTCCTTTTTCTCTTTGGCAGTAGAGATGCAAGTGAGGAAGGTATTTACACATGGCACAAAGGGACTTTTTCTTTCAAACCATAGAAAGAGAGAATCTCTTTGTTTCTGGAGTCTTCTTCAGAATTCTTATTGGATTATGTTTATCTTCTCTGGGCTCATGCTCATGGGATCTTACTTAGTGTGTTTTCTTTCTGATGGTGTGTGTGATTGAAATTTTTAAAATTGTTTTCTTGAATTTATCTGCTCATTGTAATGCTTCTCTGCTCAATGGAATTTCTGTTGTTGTGATAAGAGGTTTTACTGAAATAACTATGTAAGGACCTTGCAGTATAAAACTTCAGAGGGCTGATCATTTTATGGCAGGTGATGGCAGATCTTAAATAAAAAAATCTTGATGGAATATTCAAGGATGGATCTCTCTGGAGCTTTGCATCCCAATGATATACCCTGTGTTGGTTGGGCTCTTTCAAACATTATAAGCCTGGTAACAGGGAGAGAAAATGGCTCCTCTGAATCAAGCAGCTTTACTGATGGTGTAGACATTGCAGGATATGTTCAAGTTCTCAATATCCTTGCTGAAAGATTCCTTACCGAGATTGAGAAAAATCGATTTGCAGAAAAGGAAAGGCAAGAACTGTTGGAGGATGGAAATTCTTCTAGGATGTATAAATATATGGCGGAAATGACCTTTGGATCCTTAAATTACATGGACCTTTTGAGACCTGTTTGTCAGCAGTGGCATCTTTCAAAGCTCATGGTCGCAGCAAAGAGCAGTGCTTTCACAAATGAAAATGACTCCCTTACTTCAAAGTCAGATCTAAAACAGATTAAAGTTTTGGATCTGCTTGATATTGCTCATTATTACTCTTACATGATCAGAATATATTCAGCCTTGAATTTGATGCTCGGCCCATTACCAGTTCTTAATATGCTATCTTTTACTCCTGGATTTTTGGTCAGCATCTGGGGAGCAATGGAGCATGCTCTATTTCCTAAAGCCATTCAAGCTTCTGGAGATGACTTGTACCATGCTACTGAAATGGATGGGAACAAGTCTGCTGGGAATTCAAAGAGAAAACAAAAACAGCCTAGTAAAGATGGAGCTGCTAAATGGGTTAATGTATTTTATAAAATTAGTGGAAAATCCCAGACAGATGCAGATAATAGCTCTGTTGGGATTGACAGTCAAACTGAAGACAGCCAGATAAAGACCAATCTGGATGATATGTGGGATGTAGAATCTTTAAAATGCGGTCTTGAAAGCATTTCAAAGGAAAAACTATGTCTAATTCATCTGTTTTGTGCCACATATGCACACCTGCTCTTGGTTCTTGATGATATTGAATTTTATGAGAAACAGGTATCTGCTGCTCCCTCCATTCCTTTGTATTCTTTACACTTTGATTTTCATGGTCTCCAATGCACACCTTTGACCACGTATATATTCTATATGATATGAATAAACAATCTAAAAATTGATATATTCAAGCTGGATTTAACAAGATCCCACATGATATGGTTTTGATGTTTACAATAATACAAATTTAAAGTCAAAAATTTAAAAAGTTGACCATAAAAGTCATGATGTAAAGAATAAAAAGAGACGAAGGGAGTATTATTTATTGGTTGTAGATCTTACAATCTATTGTTTGATTTGTTTCTATTACTAATATTGGGCATCTTGTTGTGTAACATAGGTTCCTTTCTCCTTGGAGCAGCAGCGCAAGATTGCATCAATGCTAAATACACTTGTTTATAATGGCTTGCTTCATAATACAGATCGGCAAAATAAACCAATTATGGATGCAGCATCTAGATGCCTACAAATGCTATACGAAAGGGACTGCAGACATTGTTTTTGCCCTCCATCTTTGTGGCTTTCACCAGCTCGCAAGAGTAGGCCTCCTATTGCTATGGCTGCCAGGACCCATGAAGTTCAGTCAGAAGTCAGATCAGATGACAATTTGACCTTTCCAAGCATGGGTTCTTTTATAACTGTGACTCCTCATGTATATCCTTTTGAAGAAAGGTGGGCATAGATTTCTAAGTTCTCACACTATGAGCAAGAATTTAGAATGAAATTAAGACCGGTAATATGATTGCAGATCTTTGTGTTTACATGTGAATTTGGCACTTGTCCTCTCCTTGAAATTAGAGTTTTATGACCAATTATGACACGAAGCATGAGGTGTACGAAATATCTTCATAGATGTCCCCTAATCGTTATTACACCTGTAATTCACATATTATCAATATCATCAGCATTTTTCTTCCCTAATTTCTGCCATAGTTAGAGCTGTAATCATGTCAGAATCCATGCTAATTCCTAGCAAAATCCATACTAATTCCTAGCATAAACCTGTATGAGATCCTCTGTAGCTGTGCTGATCCTCTTCTTATAATTTCTATTAATGGGATCATCTCATCCATTACTACGGACATGTGGTCTCCTTTTGTACTTGCCCTACCTATATAATTTGTTAGTAAAGAAGGGGGGGGGGGGATGATAGGTTTAGGTTTGAGGCTCAAAAGGCAGTTGAAACTCTTGAAAATTTTTGGTATAGTCTGAGATTTACATGATATCTGCCTAAGATTTTGTGTCTTTCTACTCCAAAGTCTAAACTAGTCATAATATTTACTTGTTTACCTCATTGGCAGGGTTCAGATGTTTAGAGAGCTCATCAAAATGGACAAGACTTCTCGCAGGATGGCCGGGGAACTCAATGCCCCTGGTGAGCGATCCGTTGCGATTGTAGTTCGTAGGGGTCATTTAATTGAAGATGGATTTCAGCAATTGAATTCTCTGGGAACAAGATTAAAATCATCTATACATGTTTCATTTGTTAGTGAATGTGGTCTTCCTGAGGCTGGCCTGGATTACGGTGGTTTGTCTAAGGAGTTCTTAACTGACATTGCAAAGGCAGCGTTTGACCCACAGTATGTTGTCTGCATGCTTATCTTATAATCAAAGTAATTGATTTCTTTTCATGTAAGTAAAGCCTGCGTTTTGGATTCTTGATCCTAAGGTATGGACTGTTCTGTCAGACCTCAACTTCTGAGAGACTGTTAATCCCCAATACTGCTGCAAGATTTCAAGAAAATGGTGTCCAGATGATTGAATTCGTTGGAAGAATTGTTGGAAAAGCTCTGTATGAAGAAATCTTACTGGATTATTCATTTTCACATGTTTTTGTCCAAAAGCTTTTGGGCCGCTATTGCTTTCTTGATGAACTCTCTACCCTTGACCCAGAGCTGTATCGAAATCTGATGTATGTCAAGGTAAGATTGATTTTTTTTTTTCTTTTAGTATCATTCATTGTAAAGCCTTTTTCTGCCTATTTGTGAGTAAAAAAACCTGTGGAGTGTATGATGTGTAAGTAGCAGAACTGTGAATAGATGTGGAGAAAAAGCAACATAAAATTGGTGTCTTTTTGCCGGACATGTAGCCATTTGACAATTCTAAGATATAAAAGCAACAATAAAATATTGCATGGCATTTGACCTGATTAAGGTAGTGTTTAGCCAAGCTTCTAGGAGAGTTTCTAGGGATCAGTAGCTGAAACTAAGCCAAACACTACATATTTGGAAGTAGTTAGTAAACTTAAAATGACTTCTAGGAGGGCTAGAAGTAGATGCTTTAAATTGGAGCTTCTCAAATCATTTTCTCGGGGAGCTGTTAAGATCTTTTAATGAAAATTTTCCAAGTCCAAAACACCCTCCACAATTCATGAATTCCCTCCTTGCCCTTGTGAAAAATAACTTCATGCTCCATTGTCATCCTTTCTTCTACTCTAATGGCAACAACCTTTAAAACTTTCCACCACACCCACAAATCTTTACCTCTAAAACTCTTTTTCTTTTATTATTTTTTCAAATTGAAGAAAGAAGCACAGGTGCATCTCCTCATTTCTTCTTGTGTTTACCCGAGGGAGAGAAAAAAGCGCATGGGGTGTGGAAAGATAGATATGATAGGTAGTTGGGTTGCAATGGTTATTGTGTGGCAGTTTTCTGGAGGTGACAATGATGGTTTGATGGTGGTTGGCTGCCTGTGGACTTGACCACTTAGACTTTAGAGAGGATGGATTATGGAATAGAGATGGAGTATGGGCCTATTTTGTTTAGAAATGGATCAATTTGGATTCATTTTCTCCATTTTCCAAGAAGCTGGAAGTATATAATGGTCCAAACAACATCAAAAAGTTTATTTTTCTGAAAATTACATCTATAATAATGTGGCCAAACATCTCAAAATTTCTCGAGATATAGTTTCTGGAAAGTGCTTCTCAAGAGCAGAATATGTTTTTTTTTTTTTAAAAAAAAAACTTAACAAAGCTTAATAAAATTATCTTTTGAAGTCCATTTTTCTTTAATCAACTTAATATTGGATTAATCTGTTTTTGAAAATCTTCACTTTGATTTCTTTATGTTGTCAAGTTCAATGTATAAAAAAGCTCAAGGCGCACTAAGGCGATAAGGGATTTGCAGCGCCTAGGTGCGCCTCAGTGCAAAGAGGCGCACTGTATAAAAAGTTAAAAAAATTGGCAGAAAATTGCTTCAAAAGCGCCTCAAGTGCGCCTCAGGTGCGCCTCATGCGCTTTTGGTGCGCCTCGGGCGCCTCAGGTGCACCTAATTGAAAACGCCTCGCCCAGACCCAAAAAAGCTCTTACCCCCTATCGCCTTGCGCCTAAGCGCCTTAGGCGCACTTTTTCAAACACTGGTCAAGTTGTTGACTATATGTTTATCACATGGAATTTACATTGTAAGAGACTATTTATTTTATTGCTTTATGTTGAAATGGGAAGGAAATACAACTCTTAGGTTTTGCGTACTCTCTAGATGCATATCTTAGTCGAGATAATCTTGCAAGTAAAAGAAACCTTGTTTGTGATATATCCTACATCACTAAAAAAAAACTTTATTTATTTGAGCCTCATGAAAAACTGTTGAAAGAATTTGCTGTAATTGGGAGACAAAATTTAAATATAATCCCTTTGTTTAACAAAATTCCTTCCCATTGATAGATCCAATAAGTACAGAAAATAGGGAAAAATTTTAAGGAATGGCTCCAAATGGAAAGTGGGAGGAATTTTATGCAACAGAGGGAAAGGAAACAGTACTTTCAATAACTCTTTCTTTGGTTTACTTTACACAACATCTGTAATTTCTTTTTGGTTGATGCTAGTTTGCCTCAATTATCTTCCATACCCTTAACTTGTGACACAATAGGCATCATAGGTTGAGCCATGAAGTTCCAAAAAAATTAAAAAAATATTAAAGATATGGGCCACAAATGAAAGATCAATTTATAACTGAAGACTGTCTTATAGACTTTCTAATGCTTATGTTTATAAGTTGAGGGTAATTGAGGCAAAGTTGAAAAGCTTTATTTTCTATGTACCTTTTATTTTCTATTATAAGATCGAACTTAATATCATTACCCACATGTCTCTAGCAAAGTTGAAGGTGAGTGGGTAAAGGTTTTTAGATGTACACGTGTATGTTACCCATATATAAAAAAGAGGCTGTTTTCTTCAAGACTCCTAATCAAAAAGGCAGATGAATGACCTACAATACAATAATCACAATTTTTAAAAGTCAATTGATTTCAAAAAGTCAATTACTACAACAACGACTTCTACTACTAGTAGTAGGCTGGTTTTGTATTAAGTCATTGTAATCCAAAATTGGATAATACAACATTACAAGTCTCTACTACTAGTAGGCTGGTTTTGTATTAAGTGATTTAAGTCATTGTAATCCAAAATTGGATAATACAACATTACAAGTCTCTAGATGATTATTTTGTTAAAATAAAAACTGGTTAGATGAGAAAAACTTGGTTTAATATTTCTCAGGCCACATTGAAAGTTGACGTGCTTTATAGGATGATTTTTATGGAAGGTGAGTAAAAAAAAAAAAGTTAACAGTGTGTAATATGATGTTTTCATGTCAATTGCAATTTGCAACTATAGTTGAAAGGAAATATGGGCATTTTTTTTTATGATTTTGTGGCAATTATAGTATGGATAGACTAGAGTCTATGGAGCAATTATCATTAGACCTAGCAATCTACCCAAATGACCTGACCTGTGACCCAAAAACGACCTGAAATTAACCCAAAAACCGAAATCTACTCGACTGGTACCCGATCCATCTTGACCCGATACCTTAAATGACCTGACTTTATTGTACCCGAGTAACCCGACCCGAAGTTGAACCGACACCTAAAAATTACCCGACTCGAAGTTGACCCAAATTACTTGACCCGATACCCTAAATGTTCCGAATTAAAATTACCTAATAAGTAAAATAAAACATAAAAGCGTCTAGTGCCATAAATGACTCAAACTGTTTCATCCCCAACCGTAACTTAACTCACAAACCGAATTAAATCATCGATTTGAGCTTGATCCACATTATCAACACAAAATGAACAACCCGAAAATACTCGGCCCGAGATTAACCCGACCATAAACCTGAATTGACCCGACCTGACCCAAATGTTAGCTGACCCGAAATGACTCGACCTGTACTCGACCCGAATGACCCGTTTGCCAGGTCTTGTTCTCATGAGTGTCATTGCTTGAATTTCTTTCTACTTTTTCTCATTGCACTTTATCCCATTTGTAGATTGTCATACTTGCTTTAATTTCTTACGCTACTGATGAAAGCGTCTTATTAGGAGAGTAGAGGATGTTAAGTCAAACATACAAGTATGATTTATGTTTCACAGCAAATGTGTTGTGGACCTGTGGAACTTGGGAAGGCAGCCTAAGTTATTACAGTAAAAGGCTGGGAACTCTTTATATGTCCTGGTATATATTGTGCTCGTATAGTTAAGTAGAGCACTAGAGCTGTAATGCCATCACTTCAGGGAAGTGCAAATATTTTATGTCCCCATGTTTATCAGATTGCAAGGTTTTAAGCTGCTTTCAGATCTCACAGAACTTAATGAGGTTGGTCATTGTATACTTATGGTATGGTTTGGGACTTTGGTTAATTAATGCATCAGTTGGTCTTCCTAGCTTTTCTACGGGCTTCTGTGACCAGCTTCCAGAGACAACCCAATTTCCAATTTCATGAGGACTTAAAGTTAAAGTGCAAGTCATAATGTAATTGTTTTTCTGTCCTGGCTGATGAAAGATTGTCTACTTCTTAGGGACTAATGGACTATATACCCGTGCCTTGTAACCATTTTTTTGAAATCAAATATGTTCAGATTGTAATGGTCGCAGCTTACATGTTCCATGTTTAGCATTGGAATATAGTCGCAGAAAAACACAAAATATAATGCTGTTGATTATCGCTTATCATTTGATCATGTGGATGGATGGTAGATTATTCCACTTAATATGTCTTAACTCCGAGGCTTAGTCTTAGGTTTGTGTGACTTTTGATTGTACCCTTGTTTGCAGAATTATGAAGGTGATGTTAAGGAACTTTCACTTGATTTTACTGTCACTGAGGAATTATTGGGAAAAATGCACATCATTGAGCTTAGACCTGGCGGCAAAGACACCATTGTGACAAATGAAAATAAGTTGCAATACATTCATGCTATGGCAGATTATAAACTTAATCGGCAGGTACTTAGGATTGTCTACAGTGAACTGATTGTATTTTCAAGGGCCTGAAGGCTGTTGAACATGGTTTCATGCAACTTACTGAGATGTGATGTAAAATTGCAGATCTTGCCACTATCAAATGCATTCTATAGGGGATTAACGGATCTCATTTCACCATCATGGTTGAAGTTGTTTAATGCCAGTGAATTTAATCAGGTATTATATTTCATCCTGTGCTTCTTGATGCTGGAATATATATGAGGTACTCTTGAAATATAGCAAAGATATGTAATCATCATTACACACCCTATGATTTGCAAATACTCTTGAACTGTAACCATGGCACCTCTCTTAAAGTGGCCCTGATGTTATCTATATACTTCTTATTAAAAGAGGTAGAGGTGGACAGCTGTAAATCTGGATTGACTTGGCTGTAACTTTTTCTATTTGCAAAAAGTGTCTCTGATGTTATCTTTAATTTTGAAGAGGACATCATTGTATCTGGATTTGGCTATAACCTTTTCAAACTGAGAACATATCTGTTGTGATAATAATTTGGTGATGCTGATTATCATTAATCATGAGGCATTTGCTTAGTTGACTCAAAATACTAAAACAAACTGCCTGGTGTCCTGGTCTGATGCATAATGTTGAAAACTACCCCTGCAACTTGAAATAACAAGAACTAGGGAATGAAAAGTAGCTGCCTTCCTGAAATTAAACACGCACATGCATCCTTGCTTGCTTGTTCCCACTAACAGACTCACATACACATATTAATGCCATTTGTAATTATTTGTTGTAGCTATAACTAATAATGATATCATATATTTGATTTGAACAATGAATTTATTCTCCACAGTTGCTTTCAGGTGGCAACCATGATATTGATGTTGATGATTTGCGGAAAAATACACGGTATACTGGTGGGTACTCTGAGGGAAGTCGAACAGTCAAACTCTTTTGGGAGGTACTTTCATCTTATTTAGATTTTCTGTGGTTGTGGTTTTATCAATTTGTTCCAGTAAAAGATAAAAGTAGTTTGCGCAAACACATTCTATCCATGTTGGTTATTCTTTTCCTTGGTTAAAGTAAGAAATGGGGTGGATGAACAACCATGTACTTGTTCCTCTTAACTTCTTATCCACATGCCAGCCTTGAACCAAAGAGACATTTTTTTATTTTGAAACTATGAATAAAAAAAATCTCCATGAGGTGCTTATCAACAAAAAAGACTAATGTAGGCAAGGGGGTCAACAAGGCTGACAGCTATATCAGGAACCATTATATTCGTGTGAGGTTTTGCTGCATCTTTAATGGCTCGCATTAATGCACAAGATCAGTGTATAAAAAGGCATGCCTAGGTGCTATGCGATTAGGGTTGAGCGCTTTTTTTGGCTTAAGGCAAGGCACACGTAAGCAAATTTCTTTAGCTGTTTTAAAATGTGCGCCTCACTTTAAAGAGGCGCACCAAAGCGCAGCAGGACCTTTATTGCCTCATTGGTCCTTGAGCTTTTTTATACATTGCACTAGATATAGAAAATCCTTTCTATTTAGTTTTTGTAATCCATACACTTGCTTAGCTAGTGGTATCTATATTGTTTTGTTAGTGTGAATCAATGTTATTCAAATTTAAACTGTTAAACCTCTAATCAAGTAAATCTTTTAACTTTGAAATCTTGGTGGTAAAGCATGCTATTCAACTGCATGTACATGGAATGTTAATATGATTTAAATAAAAAAATTGTAGAAATCTTGTAGTACCTGGCTGTCCGACATTGCTTTGGCAATCTGTGTGGTTGTTATTGCTTTACAAAATCTAATTATAGAGAATGAATCTAGTGCTGGGGAAGTGAAAATGTATGGTGATCTGCAAACATTGTTTGTTTAATCTTGATTTTGAAGCATCATTGAGTGAAAGAAATAAGGGTTGTATACTTTAGCGATCAGATGTTAAAAGATTACTCCAAGATTTAATATTCTTTCACATGGTTTGAAAACAGGGTTTTAGCCGAGAATTTGAGATTGCGGGAACGGTCACATTGTTGTGGTAACAGAATTGATGCATTGATTACAAACCATGTGGTGGTTGTCATGATGTGACTTTGATTTCCAAGTCTTTTAGGATTTTATCATATTTGTAAGCTATTAAAATAGTTAAGAGTAGACCATCAGAGGCTTAGAGCTTATTATTAGGGAGACATGGGGATTTTTTCACTATGTCTCATTATATAGCAAGTAACTTTTGAGTGAAACACGGGGTGTAGCATTCAATGCGGGGTAATTTGGGATGCAACTTTTGGAAAAGATCACGGGTTTTTGGAAAACACTGTTAAACCAGATGATTTCAGTTCGGTCAATTAAAAAATTATTTACAACATAGCTAAACTGATATGCACTCTGATATGCAATTGATTATTCTGTTCCAACGTTTTGAAATATTCAGTATCCTAAGTAGTTGGAAAATGATGCGTCTTTGGTAAAGAAGTTTCAATTTAATTGACATTAAATTCTATGTGTGATTCTTTCCTCATCACTTAGGTTTCTCTTTATATCTCTCTCATCATCATATGGATTCCTTAAAAAGGTGTTACAACCCCCCCCCCCTCTCTCTCCTCCCTGTGTTGCAAATTTGCAATTATAAAAGAACAGAGGAGGTGGTTCTAATGAATTGTAATTTAAGGCTGGATTCGACTTGCTTAGCTTACATATTTTCTGGATAAAATCTGATAGGTCTTGGCAGGATTTGAGCCGAAAGAACGGTGTATGCTTCTTAAGTTTGTTACAAGTTGCTCACGAGCTCCATTACTTGGCTTCAAACATTTGCAGCCAACTTTTACCATCCATAAGGTATTCCATGACTTTGGATTACCTAGCTAGCCTCATTTGTTCGGATAACTTCGCAATAAAATACATAATGATGATACTAGTGTTACAACTCTGTACTGGATACATGACCAAAATTATTGTGTTTTTTGCTACGTTATCCAATCTTAGGTTGCATGTGATGTACCTCTTTGGGCAGCATTTGGAGGACAGGATGTGGAGCGGTTACCCTCCGCTTCTACATGCTACAACACTCTAAAGGTATACTCAAGAACACCTATATATTGCTACGTAGTTGCCACTTTGCTGCGAACATACTCCGCTTCTACATGCTACAACACTCTTGTTGCTTAATTATATCTTGTTTACTCTTATTTTTTTACTCTAGCTCTCTTAATTTGTTATAGCTTCCTACCTATAAAAGAGCTAGTACATTGAGGGCGAAGCTTCAGTATGCAATCAACTCAAATGCAGGGTTTGAACTTTCTTGAGTGGTTTCGGTTGCTTACCAGTTCGTGAGGTATCAATTAGCTTTTATTTTTCTGTATATTGACCTTAAAGTTTCTGCCATCTGTAGTTGGTAAAATAAAAAAAATAAAAAAAATGTTATCCATCCAGCTCGGTTTCTTGTGATTATTTTCCCTCTAAGCATGGGCTGATATGTCACATAATTTGCTAATTGAAGTCCTGTCCAAGTAATTTTTGAAATATAGATGGAGACTCTCTTTCGTTAGAATGCTTATATACTTTCTCATGGTCATTAGCGATTGATGTGATGTTGGCTTTACTTACCCAGTCATCCTACCCATAACTCCAAGGGTAAAACGGGTGAAAAAGAGAAAAAGAACAATAAAACAATAAAGAGAAATTAGAAACAAGAAAAGATGCATTGTAACTGATGATAATCAAAGGGTGGAAAGCTAATATGAATTGTCCTGGATGTGATGACGGAACCTTCATATATACCTATATGATGGTGTTTCTTCAACAGCTAGTTCTGCTAAACTCTTACTTAACCCCGTGTTTTACAAGGAGCAAAATTAATTAGCTCTCAAATTACACTCCAAATATAGTATATCTGCCAGAGAAGCAGAGTGGCCCAAGCTCCATTCTGCATTTGTAAGGAAAACTAGAAGTGTTTCTTGATGATTTAACCTATCAGGGGAAATCCCTGTGCAAGGAGAGCACCGGCCAACACACTGTTTGCTGCTTCAGAGGGATGGAACCCATCCCAGAAAACATACTGGGTGGCATTGGAGCATGTCCCTACAGATCTTTCATTGCAAAGCAGGGATGTTTCTATTGTTCCTGTTCCACAGCAAGCTTTTCTTGACTCAAAGAAACCTGCACCAAGTAGATTGCTTCAAAACATGGGACTTGATATTCTAACTTAAGCTTTATCGCTTAGGATTGATCCTTTTATTTCGTTAACAAATTTATGTATTGGGTTGTCAATTTGTCATAAAATAGGTCACTTACTATAAGTTTTTTTATTTTTTATTTTTTTTTTATTTTTTAAGCTTACCCTTAATGATGCCCTTGATTAAAATTGGCAATGGAAGACTAATTAGATACAGTGTGGTGTAAAGGTATATTTATTTAAATAGTCTGGATTTAACGCAAATATCAAATCATTCAATTGTGGCTTATTTTTCAGGAATATTTAGAGATTAACTTAGTTTAAGGAGTCTCATTAGGTCTGCAACATTGGGATTCTTTTTTATTCTACCGCCTTTTGCTTATATCTAGTTGACACAGTTTGAGTGTTGTGCTTCCTCAATGCACCAACTTAACCAATAATTTCTTTAATTGCTTATAATTAAAAATTATATACTGATTGATTTTAAAAGCATACAGCAAGGTGAACATAACAAGATTATGCATCACTATGTTATTCTTATCAGACCTTTTTTTGATTTATTTTTTAGTTATATAACAGGAAATCTATTTATTGTATCTTTTTTTTGCATTCCAGATGTGGTGAAAAAGAGATTACCATTTTCCATGGGATGTGCTATAATGTCTAGGAGAGGCTGGTAGATGTCAAAGACCACCAATTTCAAATCCGAGTGTTTTGACTGCAAGTTCTGTGCCATGCCATTCAGTTTGCTGTTAAATGAAACGGCATCCTTGTTAAGCCTTGCTACGCATTGGTTGCTTCCTCCTCCAAAGAGGGTAATGGCTGCTGGCAAGCACCCCATTGGCGGTAAGCTCGTTACTCCTATCCTTCTTACTCCAAGTCCATACAACGTCTGTAAAAGTATATCAATATTGAGTTAGTATAGCTTTTGTTAGGCTAAAAGTGGAGTGAAAAAAGGAGTGTGTTTACCCTCAAAAGTGTTCATTTGCTTTGATGCTTTGAAACAACTTTTATTTTTTTATTCACCAACTAATCCAGTGTGTAAATTTTTGTGCATTGTTATTATATCTATTCCAAATTTAGTGCATATCTTAATGGAGTATTATATTTTTCAAAAATATGACCCATCTTAGAGTGAATATTGATTTATCAGCACAAAATATGTATGTTTCGTCCCCAAATACATAAAAAAAAACTGCACCTAAAAGTAGATCCAAAATTCATTGTCTAAATGTCTAATTTCAAAATAAACGAGATAAGGAGAGACAGAGACCTGGACAAAGTTAGCGAAGGAGGTCATGAGAATATCAGCAAACTGATCAGGTGTATACTGTCGGTAGATGTAAGGGTTGATGTAGTAATTTTGTAGATAATCACTGTTTCCTGCACTCAGAATATGAATTCCTCCTGAAAACATCCCTTTTGCTTTCTCACTCCCCACCATTTTTGTCACCTTACTCTGGTAATCCTTGTAGTACCCCAACTGTTGTGTCAATGATATCGCCCGCTATAAATACATACCCCCACAAAATTAGTCATAAATAAGAAAAAAAAGTCTTCAATATAATTTTTTTTTTCTTCTGAAATAATTACCGTCAAAGTAAGAACATTTAGAAACGGAGACAAGTTTTTTGCATGGGTGCATGCAAAGATTATTTTTCACCCTTTTAATGCAGTGGGATGATGAAACTTACATATAAGGTGGCTGTTCTCTCAGCATAACCGGAACCAGCAGACGCAAAGTTAGCACCTATAAGTAGGTTCTTTCCTCTTGCTGCTTGGCTGAGATAAGATGGTGGATACGCAGTAAACCCCAGATTCTCAGCTGCCAAAACCACAAAACATAAAACCCATTAGGTTTTTTACACTTTACACGCGCGCGCACGCACACACACTCACACAAAAAGAACAGAGAAATATGATTAAGTTGACTCACCAGTGAAATCAGTAGCAAGTTTCCCATTGCAGAACCTTCCAGTAGCCTGATGGGTGACAAAGTCTCTTCCATACGGAGGGAAGTTAGCTCTGATGAGAGTGTAGAGGCCATTGTTGTTGCCTGAATCAACAACAGAGTCCCCAAATATGCAAAGTATGGGTACCAGAGGTTCCCCATAACATCGTCGAAACACCGAAACAGAGAGTAAAAAAGTAAAAACCAGTACATGTTTTGTAAACCCCATTTTCATTGTTTACTTTGACAATGAAAATGGAAGAGAGGAAAGGAGGGTAAGTATAGGGTTGAAATATTGAGGGTAATGGGGCGAGGACAGTTGAGGATGTAATAAAGGAGTCTGGGCTGTAAATCTGTCAAATTGGAGTAAATATTTTTGCAGTAAAGCTGCTCATTGTTTACTGGAGTAGTATTACTACTCTGTATTTACTTCCTGTTTTGGGGTGGATGGTCTTGCTTCTTTGGTGCCCAAAACTCGAGTCATGTTCGACAAAACTAGTTATAATTGTTAACTATTAGGCTTTAATTTGTTGTTAGTTGTCGACTAATAGTTGTTAGAGGTTAGTTTCAAAGTAACTACTCGTAGTATTTAAGGTTTGTGGATTGTGACTGTGTTTGATGAAATAGCTTTCGGGTAATGACGCGTAAGTTTGCAATATTCATGCAGAAGAAAAGTCAACCTTTTTTCATTCTTTCTGGAGAAATAAATTAATTTTTTCTAGAATATAATTGTCACTAAATTTTCTCTACTAATTCAAGGGAGCGTTTGGTTCGGAAAATGAAAACGGAGTGGAAAGAAAACAAATAAGAGGGGGGAAATGAATCATTTTACCTTTTTATTTGTTCGGTTTAACTATAGAAAGGATATTTGTTAAGAGGAGGGTAAGGGTATTTACTGCTCTAAGTTTTTGAGAGGTAACAAATAAGGGGTAATGGTAATTGTTATCATGCCTTCGAACCAGACATATGGTAATAGTATCGGTTTAATCGAATCTGTTTCCAATCCCAAAAATACAATAACCAAACGCCCCCCAAGTATCAGTAATTATCAGCTTGATACCTTCACATTTGGGAAGCGGAATGAAAATAAAATAAACTGGTAAAAAAGAAGGGTTTGTATTACTTGCAACAGACCTACTTAGCATTGCATTATATGAAGTGATTAAAGAAAATGAGCAAATTAATTTTAGATCGTCTCAATCTAATCCTTCTCTCTTATCGGTGGTAACTTAAACGAAGTACTAGTATAAATTTTTAATGTGTACCTCGTCTAAAATCTTCCTTAAACTACATATCGACTTCTTAATATAATGTTGCATATTCTTATCGGTGAATTTTTTTTTAATTTATCATTTTGTCAAGTGACCCTAGATGTATGTATAAATGTGTCTTATTTTATAGTACCAAAATATTAAAAATCTAATATCATATAACTAATATATAAAGCTAAACTTTTAGCCAGGTCACGAGGCAACGACAATTGGCGTTTTAACTTTTCGCCAAGTGTCGAGTCACGTTGGATAAATTAAATAAACTTCATAAGATAAAAATTGTCAAAGTGTTGCGCCACCTTGTATAGATTTAGATAGACTTTATAAGATAAAAACGTTAGTTAAAAATTCCATTTTCAATCAAATTAGGATAGAATTTTAGAATAAGATTGTTGATTAGAGTTTTATTTTCGATAAAATACCAAATAATAAACTTATAATTAGGCCACAAGACAACATCATTTAGCATTTTAACTTTTCGCCAAGTGTTGTACCACGTTGGATAAATATAGATGGACTTTGTAGCAAAAAAAGTTAATTTAGAATTCTATTTTCAATCAAAATTGAATATAAAATAATTTTTTCTTAAAAGTCCATAAACAACCCGGGCATCGCACGAGATACAAACTAGTATATATATAAAGGGGAGTTTTTTCTCGAGTTTTTAGAGAGCCACATAGGATTTAATTTTCTTAGCACACCACGTAAGACTATAAATTTTAGTTGTAGCCAATCAAATAAGAGATTATTATTTTCTTTTAGAATTAAATAATTCAAATGCCATGTAAGCAAAATTGGCGAATGCGATTTTTTAATTTAAACTAATTAAATATAAAATATTATCTTTTGATATTAGGAATTTTATTTAAATATGTAACAAATTTTAGCACACAAAATAAAAGAAAAAATGTTTTAAAAAATTCAAATAAACCGTACATCGCACGGGCTTCATCTAGTATATTTCTTTTTAAGTATATGTATCACGTGTTATCCCCTCTCAACACCTGAGGGTCTGAGACATGACAATTCCTTATCCAATACGGAGTAATATGTATTACACGTGAGTACGCGACAAAAAATAATTACATTTGAAGATGAAGATGGTTTTCGATTGTTAGAATGGTGAATGGTGATAAACAAGATTTTATTTGTGAAACAAAGGGGGTGTTTGGGAGTTAAAGGTTTAAGGGAAAAAGAGAAGTTTGAGAGGAAAGAGAGGTTTGACCAACTCAAAAAGCTATTTGGGGTGTTTGGTAGTTAGAGGTTTGGAAAAGAGTTTTGAGATAAAAAAGCTCTTTTTCAAAAACCTCATATTCATGGACGGACCTACGAAGGAATAAGGGGGGGGGGGGACCATTGTCCTCCCACTTTCGGAAAAAAAAAATAGAGGAAAAAAAACTAGGAAAATAGTTATACTCGTATAAAGTTGAGCGTAAGAAATAAACAAGAAGTTTGCCTTAACTAAGTTGGTAGTGGGCTAGAAACAATATGTTAAAGGGCCCAATTTCAAGTCCCTTGTAACATCATTCCTTTTTTTGGGGTGTTTTATTTCAACCAAACTACTCGACTACTCCTTAATTCCGCCATTGCTCATATTAGGAGCTTTTTGGAAGAGCTTATAGCTTTTTGGTTATTTTATCTCTGAAACAGCTAATTGCTAACCGTTACTTACCAAACACTTTTACACAAACAACTTATATAATCAGTTAGTCAAATCAGTTAACTCAATCAACTTGTAAAATCAACTAACTCAATAAGCTAATCTCTAACAATTAATAGCTAACTCCCAAACAAGGCCAAAAGACCATTTACTCAAATTCCATTTGAACATAGATTTGATAGGGTGTTAGAGAAGAGAGAAAGTGAAGGTGATAGATTTAGATACATTTGCATTATAATTGGTATTGTATAGTTCTATATAATAATAGTATTATTATTTTTGGTTTATTTTGGTTTCTTCAGAGGGTTTTTTTTTGAAAGAAAGAGATTATATTGTGATGTTATTGAAATTATTCTTTTTTATTCAAATTAATTAAACTACTCCGTACTAACTACTCCTTCCGTGTTTAAATAAATGAAATATTTGCTTTGTGCATGTATGTCAGTGCAATACTTAGACCGATAATATCTTCAATAATCAATAAGTAAAACTTATAACAATTGAATATTAATAAATAATGATTTCAACAAGTATCAATAAGATTATACATAGTATTTATTTAAAGACTATATTTATTTAATGACAGAGGAAATCCTAAAACTATATATTGCTCAAGAAAAGTTAAATTGAGGGAGTATGTCGTTGCTATTATTCAATATTTGGTAAGTAAATAAGTAATGTGCTTGAAAGTTGAAACATTTAATTCTTTTGATGTTCACATGCTCAAGTGCTCAACATCGGTTGACAGAGAAGTCCCACATATATGGCCAGGGTTTATGGTGGTAACCCAAAAAACCACAAAAGTGGAATTAATAAAGAGAGAGATCTATTTAAGTCGAAAGAGTTTAAGTGAAGTGTAGTGCATGAAATGTGAATGGACCTCATTTTCTGCTAATCTGAACTTGCATTTAAACCAATTTGCATTTGCTAATCTCATTTATTTTCCTTCGCAGGCTTTTCTGCCAAGCAATTTGTGCCCTTTCACTTGCTTTACCAGAACCATATTTATTTTTCATACAAGTAGGGTACTTGCTTGACCATAAGAGGACTCAGATGGTAATTTCTCGGATTTTAAAGGAAACAATAAATATAGTCATAATATGTTGGGTGTGGCCCAAATTTTAATAGGCCCATTATTTTGATAGAGTATTTATGCATATTTTAAAAGTTTTAAGGAAAATCAAACAAGGTTAGTTCTTGGTCATATTTTCTTTAGAATTATCTACTTTAACATTCTAGAGAATTATTGATATTGAAAACAACATGAATACTTGGCTTGTGAACGTTCTATAATATTATGAATACAGAAATGATATAGGAATTTTTGAAATCTTCCACCCATTTTTTCCAAACTCTATCTTCAATTGTAAATATACGTCATAGGCATTCAATCAACCTAGATATACACAAGAAGTCATACCATACAGATAAGTATTTCACCTCCTTATTATTCTTTTATACTATTCCTTTGAGAGTTCCTATAATGAGAGTTCCCTTGTAGTACTTTCCACGTTAAATATTTGCTTTGTGCTAATTATTTTAGGATCTTGCTAACGAACCCCCGGAGCGTTGGATAAACAATTAAAATATACTTAAAATGGTATTCCCTCCGTCCCTTAATACAATGCCTTTTTCTCTTTATTATGTGAGGAATAAATGCTCAAAAGAGGCATTGTATTAAAGGACGGAGGGAATATTAATTTGGAAAACATGACAAAATTACACGTCGATCGGTGTAATTAATGTTAATTTAATTTAATCTTTATACTTTTAGCTACCTTATCCAACGCCCTCGGGACGTTTATTAGCTTTTGCCATTTTTTTTTTATCAATCACTAAATCTTTAATTTACTTCTGTTGTCTACTCACCGATCCTTAACATAATAGAATATCCAATGGCTAATCATGACCTTTGTGGTTATCACTTATTATGAATTATTTGTCTATCTAACCATCATTTATAACTACTCTTATCACAATTTTAATACTAATGTATCCCAATTAACGCCTACAAATTTTTGGTTATTTATTCTCTCTCTTACTTATAATTGAAAGATAATGTAAATGTTAAAAATCAGTCAAAATAAATATACATTAACATTAGATACAATGACTTCTTAACAATAGCACGGTTAAATATTTTTTAATAAATTAATCTTGTAAAGATGGTGTGTTGGCCTAAAATAGCCCGTGTTTTCCCAACATCAAAATTACTAATGATATGAAACTGGCCTTCCGTAAGCATGTCAGAACTGTATCTTGAATTCCACCACCCTATATATGCAAACAAAAAAATGGAGTAATATTATTATTGTATACTCCGTATTGTTTACATGATACACTCCGTATCATATATGACTTACGGAGTATTTAGTATTAGATACTCCAATTTGCTTACCTTTTCTTATTGAGTCATTGGTGTTATTTCTTTTACGAAATTGTATAAATCTACCATTTTATTACGGAGTACTTGATTGTTAAATCAAGTGTATCTATTTAATTATAGTATACATTAATTAATTAAAATTTTAAATTAAGATCGGGATAGTACAATAAGTACAATGTGGACTATTTGATTGTTAACGTGGACTATTTGATTGTTAAATCAAGTGTATCTATTTATAGTATACATTAATTAATTAAAATTTTAAATTATGATTGGGATAGTACAATAAGTACAACGTGGACTGCATGAATGA